AAATAAAGACAATATAACTAATAAAATTATTTCTCTTATTTAATTTATTGATAATGAATAATTTTTTTTTTTTTTTGAATAAAGGCATTGTGGACACATAATTCTAAATTAAAGAAATGCATATGTATTATTTTTTGTTGTAACTACTAAATTATTATTTATATAATTTAATAAGAGTAAAATAGAGTACTAATTATGCCAACTTTGATTGGGATGTGGTTCGAACCTAAGACTTTTTTTTTTTATTGAAATCAATGAGTAAGTTAGCGGTGAACTAACGGCAATTCTTAAAATTTTAACGGAATTAGTAACAGTGTGTGGGTATTTTAGAAAATTTTAGTGTAAAATTTAAATCTGATCAATCTTTAAATCAATCTGAGCCATTCATTTGATTAAAATCTGTGACCGCCATTTTTTCTACCCATTATAGGCCTAACTCTCTTGGGCTCTTATTAGTATAGTAGATAGTAGATATAAAAACAAAATCCTGAAATTTTAACTTCCCGCCCAATTCCTAAAAAATCTCTCTTCCCAATAAAATATATTGATTTCTACTTTCCCATTCGTACAATAATTTTAGATAAAAATTTTATTCTAAAATTTTAAAATAATGTAATACAATTCTCTTTGCACATCTAATTTATACTATATATAAAAACAAAATCCTGAAATTTTAATTTCCCGCTCAATTCCTAAAAAATCTCTATTCCCAATAAAATATAATGATTTCTACTTTCCCATTCGTACAATAATTCTGGGTAAAAATTCTATTCTAAAATTATAAAATAGTGTAATACAATTCTCTCTGCACATCTAATCTATACTTCTATACTATATATAAAAACAAAATCCTGAAAGTTTAACTTTCCGCCCAATTCCTAAAAAATCTCTCTTCCCAATAAAATATATTGATTTCTACTTTTCCATTCGTACAGGGTAAAAATTCTATTCTAAAATTATAAAATAGTGTAATACAATTCTCTTTGCACATTTAATCTATACTATATATAAAAACAAAATCCTGAAAGTTTAACTTTCCGCCCAATTCCTAAAAAATCTCTCTTTCCAATAAAATATATTGATTTCTACTTTCCCATTCGTACAATAATTCTGGGTAAAAATTCTATGCCTAAATTATAAAATAGTGTAATACAATTCTCTTTGCACATCTAATCTATACTATATATAAAAACAAAATCCTGAAATTTAAACTTTCCGCCCAATTCCTAAAAAATCTCTCTTCTCAATAAAATATATTGATTTCTACTTTCCCATTCGTACAATAATTCTGGGTAAAAAGTCTATTCTTAATTTATAAAATAGTGTAATACAATTCTCTTTGCACGTTTAATCTATACTATATATAAAAATAAAATCCTAAAAATTTAACTTTCCGCCCAATTCCTAAAAAATCTCTCTTCCCAATAAAATATATTGATTTCTACTTTCTCATTCGTACAATAATGCAGGGTAAATATTATATTCTAAAATTATAAAATTGTGTAATACAATTCTCTTTGCACATCTAATCTATACTATATATAAAAACAAAATCCTGAAATTTTAACTTCCCGCCCAATTCCTAAAAAATCTTTCTTCCCAATAAAATATATTGATTTCTACTTTCCCATTCGTACAATAATTCTGGGTAAAAATTCTATTCTAAAATTATAAAATAGTGAAATACAATTCTTTTTGCACATCTAATCTATACTATATTTAAAAACAAAATCCTGAAAGTTTAACTTTCCGCCCAATTCCTAAAAAATCTCTCTTCCCAATAAAATATATTGATTTCTACTTTTCCATTCGTACAATAATTCTGGGTAAAAATTCTATTCTAAAATTTTAAAATAGTGTAATACAATTCTCTTTGCACGTTTAATCTATACTATATATAAAAACAAAATCCTGAAATTTTAACTTTCCGCCCAATTCCTAAAAAATCTCTCTTCCCAATAAAATATATTGATTTCTACTTTCTCATTCATACAATAATTCTGGGTAAAAATTCTATTCTAAAATTCTAAAATAGTGTAATACAATTCTCTTTGCACATCTAATCTATACTATATATACAAGACAAAATCCTGAAATTTTAACTTCCCGCCCAATTCCTAAAAAATCTCTCTTCTCGATAAAATATTTTGATTTCTACTTTCCCATTCGTACAATAATTCTGGGTAAAAATTCTATTCTAAAATTATAAAGGGAAAATGACACTTCTTCCCCCTTAGTTATATACATATAGCACTTTTCCCCCCTGAATTTTTCAAGTGGCTCTTTTTCCCCCTGAAATGTTAGATGGACATATTTACCCTTAAAATAAATATTTCATTTATTTTTCTTCTCCAACAAATTATGACCACGATTCGGTTCAAACTGTACAGACACTATAACAACTAAACTGAAATATTCCAATTACAATTTAGAATCAAAACTTGATATTTAGAGTTTATTAAAATCGCGAACTGGAATGGCCGGTTCATGTTCCGAACTGAAAAAAAATAAATTACATTTATTGTTGAATTTAGAGTATTTTAAAATAAAAATAAAATGTTAAAATAAAGACGATTCAAAATCGCCAACCGGATCCGGAACCGCCGGTTCACGGTTCAGAATCCAATTTTTTTGATTCGTAATTTTAATGAATTGAAATCTAAATATTGGATTCTGGATCTGAATCATAACCGGAAACTTTCAATTCGATTGTTATAGGGTCCGGTTCAGTTCGAATCGAACTGTGGTCATCCCTACGTATAAGCAATAATTTGTTGAAGAATAAAAATAAATAAAATGTTTACTTTAAGGGTAGGAATGTCAATTTAATATATTAGGGGGGGAAATTACCACTTTTAGAATAATTGAGGGGGCTAATGTGCTTACATAAACAACTCAGGGGGAAAAAGTGCTATAAGTATATAACTCAGGGGGAAAAAGTGCCATTTTCCCAATTATAAAATAGTGTAATACAATTCTCTCTGCACATCTAATATATACTATATATAAAAACAAAATCCTGAAAATTTAACTTTCCGCCCAATTCCTAAAAAATCTCTATTCCCAATAAAATATTTTGATTTCTACTTTTCCATTCGTACAATAATTCTGGGTAAAAATTCTATACTAAAATTATAAAATAGTGTAATACAATTCTCTTTGCACATCTAATCTATATTATCTATACTATATATAAAAACAAAATCCTGAAATTTTAACTTCCCGCACAATTTCTAAAAAATCTCTCTTCCCAATAAAATATATTGATTTCTACTTTCCATTCGTACAACAATTCTGGGTAAAAGCTGTGAAGTGTCAAAAGTTCGGCAATGCATAAGTTTTGACTCGGTTGTCCGTTTTGGGCAAATGTTTTTTTGAAATTGTGTAATTTTTCGAGATATATCCACCGCAACCTGCCGTAGGCGGTTTGGCCCACCAATTTCTAAAAAAAAAATGCGTTATTAAATAGTTTCTAAGAAAAAACTATAAGAACCTTATGTTTTATTAATGAATTTTTAAATTTTTTAATTAAAATATTGTCCCGTGCATTTTTTAATAATCTCTCTTTATAATTGGTCAAATTATTTAATTATGGTAAATTAGGGATAATTAATGATGGTAATAGAAATCCTATAAGCGACCTCTTGTGAAATTAACTCTTAAATAATTATATATCGATTTAAATATTCTTAGTATATTACAACAATTCCATTCCGTGCATCGCACGGTTGAAAATACTAGTTATATTAATAATATGTAATGAGATTACACGATGATTGTGTAGATGATGTCCTAATCAGACAAAGAGGAGTGTTTTTTAATAGGTCGCGCCCCAACCACTCCTGCGAGAAAATGGCGGGTAGTTTGGACCTCCTTGACACTATGTGCGCTACAACCATCCATGAAACCGCGGAGGCCGAGCTCAAAGCTCGGCCTCGGACCTCCTCAAGACACCAAGCTCGGAGCTCAACCTTGGACTTCCTCAAGGTGCCGAGCTCGGAGCTTGGCGTGGGACTTCCGAGGTGCATTTGGCGTAGGACCTCCAAGGTGCCAAGCTTAGGACTCGGCCTTGGACCCAAGTTTGGTTGGGTCCACTCCACCGGATTGATTTGCTCTATGCCCATTTGTAATATATTCATTACCAGTCCTCCCACTCTCTGAGCTGCGAGAAGTCGTTAGTGAAAGAGAGTGTTTTTGTTCCACAGTGCTATCGCCTTTTACGTACCTCATGGTTGCTCCTAATTAGCTTTTGCATTATGCAAATAAAGCATACATTGCTCGACACCGACACGACCATGCCATTGACTTTGGCCGCCTTTGGGGTGTTCGATACTTTTCCACGATCGGACTCCAAGAGTTTGAGCTTCCCACTGCTTGGGCCGACCTCAAAGGTTTTGGCTCCTATCCTTGGTCGGGCTCGAGAACTTGAGCTCCCAACTTCACCTTGAGCTCCAACCCCCAAGGGAAAGGGCACTGCTGGAAATTTCGCATTTTCCGTCCAACAAATGTTGGACGGAAAACGCGATATATTGGTCGGAAACAACGTTTCCGTCCAACATACCGACCAAAAGGAACGTTCAGAAAAACCTCCGTGGGAAATTCCGTCCAACTACAATTTTTGGTCAGAAATAGCGTCCAACGAACAAAAATTGGACGGAAATTCCGGAAACTAACCCACCATTTTTAAAACATGGGAACTTCCGATCAACTTTGTGCGTTGGTCGAAAATTCCGACCCAACGTTGGACGGAAAACTCACCTATTATATTTTGTTATTTTCCTTCCAACTGTTGGTAGAAAAATCCTAAATCATATGAAATATTTTTATTATTTTTATATTACCATAATTTTATTTATAACTGTTGTTAATAAATTATGTCATCAACAAATTAATGAACACACTAAATTGAAAATTGAAAATATATTTAAACATCAAAATTATTTACAACAAAAATTATGTTCATGTTCATAAAAAAAAAACATAAAAAATATGTACTACTTGATTGATACTCCGTACAACTTAAGTATGAAAATATACTTATTTGATACTACATAAGTATGCTCGCTGCACCCAAATAAGCCTTCAAATCCGGCACTGCTTCAATGGCTTTGATCAATGCAGCATCCACAACCTCCTTCAATGAAGTTGATCAAGTGTAAACCTTCACCAAAAATGGACCGTGATATAAGTAATCTAACACTGAATGAGTAGATACCTATGCATTTTACAAAATGACTAGAAAATCAAAGGAATGTCTTTTATGTTTAAGTAATCTAACACAGAAAAAATAGAAACTTCTGAATTCTTACATCCTAATTCTAAAGTTTGTTTAGTATAAGAGATGTACTCCACAAGTCTTGCTGAACTGCTGCTTTCACACGTTATACTATAGATTTGAACTTAAAACATAACAAAACAATAATTGTCCAGTATCACTTAAGGAAGATATATAATTGAGTACCAATTAGTGCAACAATTTAACTCACTTAAGGAAGAGATACACACAGTGATGCTAATAGGAAAATGTCAAATGTAAGTTGTCCCTTACTCTCTTTCATCCCAATCTGCAGGCTGGAAAAAGAAAGAAGAATGCTCCGATCCATATTTATAGATGTTAATGCCCACAATTTCAACAAAATAATTCACTAAGAATGATATTATAGTAGATAATAACTAATAATCATCCACAATAATCTTTAATATGAGGAAATGTCACAGATTTTTATTCTCTGTAGATATATAGAACTCCAAGTAAACCCCAAGCGATTCAGTAAGTTGGTGCAATGCAAGGAAGAGAGTAAGAGGGTAAAGAATATAGAGATGCATACATGAGTTCGACCATCTTCATGATAAGAGAACATATATGAAAGCATAATTGGCCATTAAATCTAAAGAGTCACAATAAATGCAAGAATCAGCAATAAACACTGTATTCAAACACATAAAAGTTGAGTCTTTATCCTTCACTACTTCAGAGCCAGCTGTTTGAGTTTCAGATTATCAGATAGAGAAAGCTCCAAAAGAAAATGAAATGTTCTGTATAAAGGGAGAAAAATACAAGTGAACACCGCATTCAACAACGAACCACTCTAGTATCGTTAGATCTGAACACTAAAGCAGAATTATAGAACTCAATATTCTAGAACCAAACAATGAAATGATAGTTGATCGCAATCAGTAAAAACTACTATCATTTGATGAAAAGGAAAAGACGGGAAATAGTTCTAGTTTATAGAAACATACCAAGCAGCACTGAGGAAGAGAGAGACTAAAGAATGTATGGCAATGTACTATTGACTTACTCCTGCTTTCATTTGATTCAATCCTCCATTAGCATGAGCTATTTGTTCCAGTCCTTGTCCCTGAACCAAGAACAATTCTCTATTAAAAGCCAAATTCATGTGGCAAATAAAACTGGAATTCCAAAAATCAGAGTACCATTTACACACTTATTCTATTCTTTGGTCGAGTAATGCATTGGCAAATATCACTAATTGGTTTCTTCCATATTTCTGGAACCTGTTAAAAATCACAGCGTCCAATTCACTGCCACAAATTCACATCAAGTTGTCCGTAAACATTAAAAATGTAAATCTGTAAACAAGTATGAAATCTTATTAAAAAAACAAGTAAAAATCTGAGGAAAAAGAACAACTAGAAATCTATTAAGAAACAAGTAGAAATTTGATAAATAAATAACACATGTAAAAAATCTGGGGAAATTAACCAAAAATAAAACCCTAGGTATGAATGAAAAAAAAAAAAAAGACTAACCTGCTTGCTGCTGAAACAAAAAACACGCCGTCGTTCGCTGCTGAAGGAAGCTCACCGCCGGTCTCACCGATGCTCGCTGCTGTTGAAGGTGTCGAAGTCGAAGTTCGCTGCCGCTGCTGTCGAAGCCTCGCTGCTGTTGGAGGCTTGCTGCGATTGGGATGCAGTGCGGGGCGGTGTGGCGGTGGGCAGTGGCTGAGCGGTGGGCAGTGTGCGAAGTGGTGAGCGGTGTGCGGGGCGGTGGCTGAGCGGCTGTGCGAAAGGAATTGAAGCGGACTTTTTGAGAACAAACAGACGTCGGGGTGCGAAATGAAATATTAAAACCCTATTTTTAAAACCCCTATTTAAATTTCCGTCCAACTAATATTGGACGGATATTAAAATACCTACTATTTTAATTTCTACCTATCAGTCAATTTGACTTTACCAACCAACACTATAGGTTGGTCGGAATTTCCGTCCAACGCGCGAGTGTTGGACGGAATTTCCGTTCAACACTTGCGCGTTGGACGGAAATTCCGACCAACTTTCCGTCCACCCATCTTTAGTAACAGAAAGTTAAAATCTTTAATAAAATACCGACCAATTTACGGTTGGACGGAAATGTTGGACGGAAAACGCGAGATTTCCAGCAGTGGGGGAGGATATGGGAGGAGAATGGGAAGTATTCTGTTAAGAGATGCTATAAGAAGTTGGTGGGTGAATTTTGGGGGAGGGAGAGTTAGTTGGGCTATATGTGGAATTATAAACTCACTCATAAAGTTTTTTTTTTCTTTTCTTTTTTTTAAAGGCATATACCATATATGGAGTTAATATAAATTTTTATAACCAAATTAGTAGTTGACTCCCGGCTACATATTTAGCCTAGCTGAGGATGGATTTGTGAATTGTGATCAATGACAAATAGCAGCAAATGCCACAGGCTTTGAAGAAGCAAAAATATTTATAAGTTGGCTTAGAGAAAATGATGGTTCAATAGCATAACAGTCAGATCAACAGACAGATTGGCTATCACAATGTGAAAGAAATCATAATAGAACATCAAGCATGTCTTCCTTCAATAGCACAAACAAAAAAGTTCATTATATTCTACTTAAATTTCCTTCTTTTGTTATTTTTCAAATGGGGAAGGGAAGGGAAGGAGCCTTATTTTGGATACAGAGGCCCTTGGTGCTTAAGCCGATTGCTTTGTATAGAAGCGAACACCAACAGCCACGCCCAAAATAATCAAAGGAACTAAGAACTGCAGGAGCTTGACGATGAAATCCGATGTTTTGTCCTGGTTGTAGTGTGGCTGCTTGGGAGGAGTGTACTTGTTCTTGGTCGGGATTGTTGAGGAATCAATGTCACCAACATAGTACTCGTCCATCATAGCCCGCGCACTGCTACTGTGCCCAACATCCTCAAAGTCATCAGTAGCATCCTTTCCTGCATACCCACAATTAGTTTGTTCTGTATGTGTTTATCTTCAGCATTACTATCTCAGATTATAATCTGGGGTGTAAAACCGTCAAGACAACTTCCACTTCATCCTGATCAAGAGCTGTGGACTTTCGATTTAGTTTCAACACCCTAAATTTTGTCAACAACTTTTTGATACATAGAGTACTCTTACTGAACCAACATATGGATACTATCATGCTAACAAGTACAGAGTAACAAATTAAAAGTAAGTCATTATTGAGCGGAGGTTGGTGAAAGGCCAAGTCATTGTTGGGCTGAGGTATGAAAGGCCAAAGCCAGTACCACGCCTCCTGAAAATGGGGTGGCATAAGGATTTAGCATTTAGCGTAGTATTAAACGTTTGATCTGATAAGTGGTATCAGAGCCCTGTGGGCGAAGTCCAACACCAAATGGCTAGCCGGCCAGGGAAAATTGTTCGGCGGAGACCTAAAGGGTCAAGTCCAACACCTTGCCTCTTGAAAAAAAAAAAAGATATAGATAAAATGGTCAAATAAGTTCTTAAACTTTACTCCAAAAGTCAATTAGACCCCTAAATTTTAAAAAAAAGTACAATTAAACCCTTAAACATGTCAAATTGAGTCAATGAAACCCAAAAACTGGTAAAAGACCTGTTATTACAGGTCATTTCAATTCCAGCGACCGGCGACGGCGAAGGCGGAATTGAAATGACCTATAATAACAGGTCATTTACCGATTTTTGGGCTTCATTGACTTAATTTGACATGTTTAAGGATTTAATTGTACTTTTTTAAAGTTTAAAGGCATAATTAACTTTTGGAGTAAAGTTTAGGAACGTATTTGACCCTTTTCTCAAAAATATAAAGCTGTGCTTTCGCTACGAGCTATAGCTTTAGCACTCGATCCTGACAGTCATTAATATCTACATTAAGCATTTGTAGCTCTGAGTTTAATATGGGCTGTAAAACTGCCAAGCATTCGAAGCACTAGTTTAGTCTGATCAAAAGCTACCAACAATTAAAGAATTCCGATAAAAATTGCTGTTTATAGGTTTTGTCTGTATGTTAACAAGCAACTATGGAACATATTTAGGCAAAAAGTTATATAAATAAAATGCAAAGGCATCAAGTTAAACAAAGAAGTGGCTAAAATTAGTGTACCAGTAGAAGACAACAACACTTCATCACCACCAGGATGATCTTCCAAAAATTTTGTCACATCATATACCTGCCAGCCAACATGTCGAAAAGGTAAAACCCTTAATAATCGATCTATAGAAACTAAGGTAAAGTTATATCATTAGTTGTATTACACGGGCCAGATTGTGATCCTTTTAGGATACTAAAACCTCTGCAGCACTTTCTTTCTGAGTTAATGCATTAAGTTCCTTAAAAAAAAAAAAAAAAAAAAAAACCTCTTCAGCACTATTGAACTCTGGAAAACCAACAAACTGGAAGGAGGACAAATGTGGATGAATTTTCTATTCACCTGGCTTATAGACATAGAACCACTATAGTACTATACCAATTGCATTTAAGACTTGTTTCCCTTTTTTTTTCACTCTTTTATACTAATAACGTATCTCAAAATAGAGATGGTTTCTTTTTTATCATATATATATATATATATAGAGAGAGAGAGATTCAGATCAAATGAGAACACTTCCTTAGATGAGAATGTGCAAACAAGCATGAGTGCACACAATAGTATGTGCACGGCGGAGACTCTGGAGTAGACTGTGTGCACTCATGTTTCATCTAAGAAAGTAGGGATGGCAATGGGTCGGGTGTGGGTCGGGGAGGGCTACATCCATCACCCGACCCACCTTATATTTTCTCCACCCACCCCACCTCCAACCCGCATCGGGTGGACTTTTTTCAGAACCCACCCCCACCCACACCGAGTGCGGGTGCCCACTACGGGTACCCACCACTTATCATCTTATTATGTTTTTCAAAAAATAATATTTAAATTATTTACACATAATAAAAAAATAAAATCCATTAGTGATACTAAAACATAAATAATGGAAATATTTAAATATAATAACTAAATTGTTAATTTTTAAAAATAAACTTAGTAGTTTTGATATAAAAAATAGTAAAAAGATACACGGAGTTATATAAACTATTATAAATAACTACATACTAGTATTTATTTTACTATTATATATATATACACACACACATGGTGGGTCGGGTGGAGTTCTAGGCGGGTCTTGTACATAGAACCCGAATCCAACCCGACCCACCGCGGGTTTTCTTTTTTAAGACTCACCCCTGACTCACCACCCACCATCACCCAAAAAAACCCGATCCATGCGAGGTGGATTCGGGTGGATATCCACGGGTTGGATTGAAATTGCCATCCCTATAAGAAAGTGTTCTTATTTATGTACTAGTAATATACTCCCTCCGTTCTATTTTGTTTGTTAGGTTCGATTAACGAGGGCTTGATTGAAGCTACTTTTAATTCAATTTTTCTTAATATTTAGTTTAGTATTAGTACATAAAATTTATATATTTAGAAACTATACCAAAAGTACTAATAAATACCAAAAAACAAATTCAAAAGTAATTAAAAATTACTAAAGAAAATAAGTAATGAAGAAAGAGTTTTTGACTAATAAATATTAAACAATACATGCAAAATGGGACAGAGTGAGTAAAATTTTGTAGTTTGTAGTATAAGTTTGTGCACTTGAAACTATATGCTTATACACTTTCAAATACGGAGTATCAGTTTAAAAAAACATGGTGGCATTTTTGTAAATATCTCAAACTAATATTAGTATTTGCACTCGTAGTATCAACTTATGCACTTGCAGTACAAAATTTATGTACTTTGTAGTATAAACCTGTGCACGTCAAAGTTAGAAAAATTATCAAAATGTCACCCATTTTCATTCAGGGGCGTTGATCGGACCAGATCAAGGGTGAGATATCACCTCATTTTTACTTGGACACCTCTTTATATATATATATATGTGTGTGTGTGTGTGTGTGTGTGTGTGTGTGTGTGTACTTTGTAGTATAAATCTGTGCACATCAAAGTTTAAAAAATTATCAAAATGTCACCATTTTCATTCAGGGGCGTTGATCGGACCAGATCAAGGGTGAGATATCACCCCATTTTTACCTGGACACCTCTTTATATATATATATATATATATATATATATATATATATATATATATAACATACACACACATACATGGCTACAAAAGAATTATAGACAAAAATGATATGGTTAGGTGTGAATAAAGTGATGGTCCTCTTTAATGAAGGCTGAAAAATATGGACCACATACACTATCAGAAGTTGGTATGATATTAATGGCAATAGTTTGTAGTATCTGATCAACAATGAGAGTAGCATAGCTCAACTAAATCCCTTTGACAACAAAAAGGTTGGATTTATGTAGTTTCAATCCTCTACTCTGCTAAGGTAACTCGAGCAGTGTGGTTGAGTATAAGAGACTCATTCATTCTTAACCAAACGTCAAGGATCAATCCTTGACCTTCGGTACAGGGTAACCAGTCAATAGTGTTGAATTAATGAAAGTGTAGTTTCATGTTCTTTAGCTACCTAAAATTTAACCAATCTCCTCTGAGTTCTAACACAATTATCTTCAACTAACCTTACAGACAAGATTCCTACCCAAAAAAAAAAAACATAAATGTGCTTTGATATGATCCAACGAATAAAAGTAACAGAGAACACAGACTGGGGGGTGAAAACTAAAGTAAAGTAAGTAAATTAAACCTTGCCATCGATGATGAGCCAACAGTCCTTGGCGTTGTTGTGGTGGGAGACCTGGCTAAAGTGTAGACCTTGCTTCCCTCACCCATTATTGTGTACTCAGATGATCAGAAAACAGCTCTTCAAGAATGAATCAATAGTGAGTGAGAAAGGGGTAAGAAGAGTGTGTAATGCTGTTGGGGCGAGTATAAGTGCGAAGTGGGTAGGACTGCCAGAGGGGGGTAGGTGGGTGTGGGTGGGGGTGGAGTCCTTAATTACACAAGTATGGACACAGGTTGGTGGGGGTGGGAAAGAAGATGAGAAACAGGGTGCTTTATATCCCTGCTTATTTTTACCCATCATTTATTGACATTTCATTAGGCAAACAACACAATTTTTTTCTTTTTAGGATGTGATTGAAAACCAGGAAAATAAATTCTGGAAAATTTTTTCTGGAGGATAAGTCATTCTCTATAAAATATTTTTATTTTTCATGTTTGGTTGTATTTCAGAAAATTGTTTTGGTCTGTTTAGTTTATTTTCAGAAAAAATGAGTTGAATTGTATAATTAAATATTTTAGTTGTTTTATTTAGAATATAAAAATATTTATAATAATATTAAAAATAGTATTATTTATTAAAAATTGAAAAAAAATGCTCTGGTTGCCGCTGTAGAAACCAGATTTATGGTTTCCGCCGGAACAATTGTTGTCAACCTGTGTAAAATGACTTCCGTCAAATTTTGGTAGAAGTCGTTTTCCTCCAAAATAGCCTTATTTTCCCAAGTTAACGAAAAATAATTTCCGTTGACTTAATTTTTCGGGTACATCCAAACACTGGAAACCCAAAAAATGATTTTCATAAATCAATTTTTGAGTTTCCAAACACACCCTTAGTTTGCAATTATATTTTTTAATTTATATATGAGAAAATGTAATTTTAGTGTCTCAACTATCTCTTATTAACGATTTTAATCTCTAACTTTTTACCGTTGTAATATACACACCTCTAACTCTTCCAAAAGATTATAGTTTTAATCACATGAGCAATAAAACTATTAAACTCTATTAAAATTTTACCTAGTACATGTGTATATTATTTTTTAATGTTTCTTCTTTAATTTTAATATGATTTAGTTTTGATATTTCATTTGTAAAATAAATAACGTAATTTTAACATCGTTGTGTAGGGGAAATAGGGACAATTGACCACAATTGAAAATGCCAAATTTAGGGAAGAAAGTTGTCAATTTTCTATTTTGAATATGAAATACCAAATTTGACAATGTTATAAAGAACAAATATAATAAAATTTTAAAATATTCATTTACTAAGTAAAATTTAATAGGTTGTGCTTCAGTAGGTTGAGAAAGTAGTTATGAACAGATACTACATTGTAATAGAGTCAGTAGCATTCAAAAAAAAAAAGAGAGTAAAATTTAATAGAGTTTAATAATCTTTGTTGCTTCAGGGGTTAAAAATGTAACATTTTTGAGGAGTTAATGGTGAATATTGCAACCGTAAAAATTATGTATTAAAACCACAAGCAAGCTAAAACTGTATTTTTTTTTTCCCCTTTAGAAAGATGATTTCACAATTTTTTCGTCGATGCTTAAGGTTGTTAATGAACCGAACATAAGTTGCTCGTGTTCGTTTCTTAAGATTTTTCCAGTGTTCGTGTTCGTTTGTTAAAGTTTTTGAAAATTATGTTCATGTTCGTTTTTTAAGTGTTCATTAATGTTCGCGAACATGTTCATTAATGTTCACGAACATGTTCGTTAACGTTTGCAAACACGTTAGCAAACGTGTTTGTTAATGTTCGCGAACATGTTCATAAAATTCTAAATTAACAAACACATGTACATGTTCATGATCTTACTTTGTTCGTGAATAAGAAATAATCTATGTTTATGAACAATAATCAAATAAACAACATAACGACTATAAAAATAATACAAATAAATCCAAAAATAACATCTGATATCAAAGTGAAAATACCAAGTCTAAAAAAACACAGCATAGTCAATAGTTATGTTGTGCAACCGAATGCACCATGCGCATGGTGCATACAATGCAAAACGACGTCGTTTTGACTAAAAATGCGCGTTCCACTTAAAAAAAAAATCAGGTTCGATTCTCGGCAATAGCATTATTGTGGATATATAGTTATGAATTTCTGGATATATAGTTATGAATTTCTGGATATATAGTTATGAATTTATGGATATTTAGTTCATTCATTGTGGATATTTAGTTCATTCATTGTAGATATTCACTTCATTCATTCAATGTGGATATATAGTTATGAATTTCTGGATATATAGTTATGAATTTATGGATATTTAGTTCATTCATTGTGGATATTTAGTTCAATCATTGTGGATATTTAGTTCATTCATTGTGAATTTTTACTTCATTCATTCACTGTGGATATATAGTTGTGAATTTTTACTTCATTCATTCACTGTTGATATATAGTTATGAATTTATGGATATATAAAAATGCTATTGCCAGGAATCAAACCTGATTTTTCTTTAAGTGGGACGCGCGTTTTTTAACCAAAACAACGTCGTTTTGCATCGAATGCACCATGCGCATGGTGCATTCGGTTGCACAGCATAATTTGCGCAGCATAGTTTGCCCTTTCTCAGTTAAGCTCATGTGCTTTACTTATAGGCCCAAAATTTATGCAATAGACGGCCCAATCCATGAAAAAAAAAACCCTACTGTATACGTATATATGGCTTCACACTCACCCTGAACCCTAGCTGATCACCGGCGAGGAGAGAGAGGAGTGAGTAGAAAGCACAGCAATGGTGTCGGGATCGGGAATCTGCGCAAGAAGGGTTGTAGTGGATGCGAGGCACCACATGTTGGGGCGCCTGGCGTCCATCCTCGCCAAGGAGTTGTTGAACGGCCAGAGAGTTGTGGTGGTGAGATGCGAGGAGATCTGCCTCTCCGGCGGCCTCGTCCGTCAAAAAATGAAGTACCACCGCTTCCTACGCAAGCGCATGAACACCAAACCTTCCCACGGGCCCATCCACTTCCGTGCTCCCTCTAAGATCCTCTGGCGCACCATCAGAGGGTATGTTTCTGCTCCCAATCCTGTATTATTACGATTTCAGCTTGTATACTTGTCGGAAATGGTGAATCTCTGTCAGTTTATGTTTCTGATTCATGATTATGTGTGAGATGATTTGAGCGATTGGAAATATACAGGATGATTCCACATAAAACTAAGCGCGGAGCTGCGGCTCTTGCACGATTGAAGGTGTACGAGGGGGTGCCTCCACCATATGATAAGGTGAAGAGGATGGTTATTCCTGATGCTCTCAAGTGAGTTTACTAATTTATTTATTCAAAATAGCTTTTTTTTTTTGGGTTTAAAATTGTTTAGTTTAGATTGGTTTGGTTTACTTAATGATTGAAATTCTGTGAATATGAGCTTAGGGTTTTGAGGCTCCAGGCTGGTCACAAATACTGTTTGTTGGGTAAACTTTCATCTGAGGTCGGCTGGAACCACTATGATACTATCAAGGTAAAATTACTTTTGTTCAATGCATTCTGCAAATTCTATGTTGGTCATTTTATTGTAATCATTTCATTTTTATGAAAGTATAAAACCTATTTGGAAATATATTATTGTTTACCCTTGAATTCAATAGTTATTGTATTCATTTGATACACTTATGATGGTGGCTTGCTGGTTGGTAATCATCAATTTGATTATTTATTAGGAACTTCAATTTCCATTTTCTCTACGCATCCCTGTTACTTGTGTTGTAATTGTATTTGTATTCTATGATATCAATGCTCTTGTTTATGACTGGTGTAAAATTGTGTTCATGAAATTAGTTTGCTAATTCATGGACTATCTCAAATACTAACTAGTTACTAGTCTATAATTAATGCTCAACTCCATTGTATTTCTGAATTACTTATGAGTGTGTTCTTGGGTTTTACAAGTGAAACTAACATTTCCAACTGCAACTTGTATGGCTAATAGATTCTGGAGAATAAGAGGAAGGAGAGAGCCCAGGCAGCTTACGAGAGGAAGAAGCAGCTAACAAAATTGAGGGTCAAGGCTGAGAAGGCTGCAGAGGTGAAACTTGGATCTCAACTTGACATTCTCTCTTCGGTAAAGTACTGAATCTAGATGGTAAATGTTGCATTGTGGCTACAAGTCTTCGGTGGAAATATTATCATATTTCAAGGGCTGGGCTATATTGCTACCCAATTTTTGTTTTCATGCTATAGAAAGACACTTTATTTGATTTCCTTGGTACTATTTTTGATAATTCTGAATAGACGTCTTGTTTTATAGCAGCCAGTGATTTCTCCTTTATTTCCTTCCTATATTTGCTTGAGTATGAATGATGTGCAAAGTTGTATGCTTTATGATTAAAGTTTATTGGTCATATTCAATTATAATGTCTGACCCAAGAAAAATTCTATTGAATGGTTGAATTTTTCGTTTTCACCAATAAGACTTTTTAATCATCTGGTAAGGGCCGCTTCAGGCAATTAGTTGTGATGGCCTTCCCGTGACCAACATTTAATCCTTAAAATTTACGGAGTATTTATTTATTACATTTGATAAAGTTTGAAGATCAAATTAAAACTCTTCAAAATTGAATGAGCTCAAGTTTTTTTTTTTTAAGAATAGTAAAATATAGTCCATATTAGTGAATAGGTCTTATATATTGTTATTTTTTAGTATTGTAATTTATTGTGGATTTATGCTTTATATTTGTGAGTTAGTTATTATAATCTTAGCAAAGAGTAAATACCTAAAATGGTCCTTCGATTATAGCTAAATTTACAAATTGGTCTTCAATTTTCAATTTCACCCAATTAAGTCCTAAACTTTGTAATTTTAACACAATTTGGTCCTCTGTCTATTTGACTGTTTGTTGACTGTGATTTTTGAGGATATATATGTAATTGAGTTAATACCCAAAATGGTCCCTCGATTATGTCATAATTACTAATTTGGTCCTCAACTACCATTCTTACCCAATTAAGTCCTCAACTATGTAACTTTTACTCAATTAAGTCCTCAACTATACAATTCTTACCCAATTTAGTCATCAACTATACAATTCTTACCCAATTTAGTCCTTTGTATTAATTTGACTGTTTGTTGACTGTCAAAAGTCGGGATAAAATTATAATTTTACAAGATTTTTCCTTTTTCTCCATTTAGCAGCGCCAAACCATGAAGCAATACATCGTTGGAAATCAAATTCTCATGGGCTATCCGATGCATAACCACTACTTCGATACTGACAGGTTTAGAACCCAACCGGAGCTTATTGCTACATGGTTTGGCGCTGCTAAATGAGGAAGGAGAAAAATTGTAAAATTACAACTTTATTTTCACTTTTGACAGTCAACAAACAGTCAAATTGATAAAGGACTAAATTGAGTAAAAATTGTATAGTTGAGGACTTAATTGGGTAAGAATGATAGACGATGACTAAATTGGTAATTACGACATAGTCGAGGGACTATTTTGGGTATTAACTCTATGTAATTTCATGGTCCATCGTCGGTTTTTTAAGGTTCCAATTGCATTTTCAGACCGCACTGTTACATTTGAATCCACTGTCGAAAGCAATCTACCAAACCCGGTCACCTTCTTCATCCTCCCTTTGGATTCAATGTAGTTGAATTCGTACCAGAACGAAGAAGACGACGTGTTTCCGAACCGGTGCAACGTCATCCTGGAGGCCTCCACGTGCTCCGACGAGAGCTGAAGGTTCTTTTGGATATCGTCGATCACGGTCAACAAACGGTCAATTAGATGAAGGACCAAATCGTGTCAAAATTGCAAAGTTAATGACTTAATTAGGTGAAATTGAAAGTTGAGGACCAATTTGTGAATTTAGCTATAGTCGAGGGACCATTTTGAGTATTTACTCCTTAGCAAATTATACCGGGGCTAGGGTTCACTATGCAGGATTTAAAACGACTTCGTTTTATATTATTTGTCAATTGTGAACTAGTGCATTATATTTAACAATATCTTGTACTATGTTCACATTCTATTAGCACCCTTTTGGAGTGCCATCTTTGCTTTGTCATTCTCCACCTGTCTTACAACTTTACTCAGGGTAACATAAAATTCAATCCTCTCGCAATTGCTCCCAATCTGTAAAAACATTCACTTCATTATCAGCGTTATTACTTGGTATTCGTCTACGCTTGAAAGACTTTCTCGTCTCCTTCCTTTGTTTGTCAAATCATTCCACTTTCCTTGGCTAGTCCCATTCTTCTCCTTTGAACGCCTTGTTGCACCTCCATTTGCAAATGGGTTAATAACAAAAATAATCTTCGACTATAATGGTTTTCTCAATTTCATTCTAAACGACTTTGGTGATCTAATGCAATTCCAGGTTTATGTTTTTGCTCAATTCAGTCCTTTGTTTGTTATTTGTCCATTTGGTGTTAAATGGGGGATAATTTAATAATTTAAATATTGACATCTCTTTTCTACCTGCGGATTACAAAATTCTTCTTTCTTTTATGAATTACTCTCAAACTTGCTAATATAAAATTTGATTCACAGGTCCAGAAATAATAATTTGTAAAAAAAAGAAAGAAAAAAAAATTTCGCACTTTGCAGGGCTGAGAGTAAAGAGAGGACAATATTGAAATTATTGATTTATCTCTTTATGTAACGCTAATTTGACGGGATAATAAATAGAAGACTAAATTGAGCAAAAACACAAAAGTTTAGAATTATATTAGATCACCAAAGTCATTTAAGACGATATTGAGAAAAATCGGTATAATCCGGATCATTTTGAATATTAACTCATTTCCAAATCCACCAAATGACTATCGCTAAAGTTTCACTCCAGTCCTTGTGCCCTCAGTATTCTCGCGTACCCATGCTTCAAATTCAATACCATAAAATATGTTCTTTTCTCCATGGGATAGTAGGACATACCAACTCTCTTCCGCTTTTTCGCATTTCCTAAATAAATGGTCTAAATCTTCTCCCATGTCGTTTCCCATACACTGTGCCATCCCCGTAAATCCCTTCTCTTCCTCTCAACATTTGGCATTAGTCTCTCGCGCTCCAGTAACCAGACAAACGAGCAAATTTTGTTTGGCACCTTGAGCTTCCATATCTTGTCCCAGCCCTCCTTCGGGTTGCACCTTGGAGCCTATATCGATATATTGTATGCTGAACTGACTGAGAACCTTCCTTCTCTTAGTAAATTTTGTTCCTCTCCATCGGGTAAGCATCCAGGTCATAATATACCTTAAATCACCCGTTATCTTACCCGGAAGCAGTCTCTCCAAGAGTTGCCAGTTCCAATCACCCCTTGTACCCAGTAGTCAGCTATCGTGTTGTTGTACTTCCCGTTAATCTCTCCGATGTTAACTCTCTTTATTAAACGGTGATTGTGTCAATCAAATAAAAATTAAAGATGTATGAAGATAAAATTAAAATAATAGGACTAAATGTGTTCATGCTACAATAGTCGATGATTAAAAATAATTTTGTAGAGTTAATACCCAAAATCGTCCTCGACTATAGTGGTTTTTCTCAATTTCGTCCTAAACGACTTTGGTGACCTAATATCGTCCCAGACTTTTGTGTTTCGCTCAATTTAGTCCTCCATTTGTTATTCCGTCAAATTGGTGTTAAATAAAGGGACAATTCAGTAACGCCAATATTGATCTCTCTTTACTTTCAACTTGTGAAGTGCAAAATTCCTCTTTCTTGTACGAATTACGCCCAAAATTACTCCCGGACCTGCAAATCAAATTTTATATTCGCAGTTTTAGGAGTAATTCTGGGAGTAATTCGTAAAAAAAAAATGGATTTCGCAGTTCACATGTCTATGAGTAAAGAGATGCCAATATTAAAATTACTGAATTGTCTATTTATTTAACACCAAATGGACAGAATAACAAATGAGGGACTAAATTGAGCAAAAACACAAAAGTCTGGGACTAAATTGAGCGAAACACAAAAGTCTGGGACGGTATTAGGTCACCAAAGTCGATTAGGACGAAATTGAGAAAAACCACTATAGTCGAGGACGATTTTGGGTATTAACTCTAATTTTGTATATAAAACCTATACTCCAAAGAATTGGCATCCCTAACTTATAGTGAGAAAAATAAATTAGTGTGGAATCAACTTAGTTAATAACAGTTTTCAAAAAAAAAAAACTTAGTTAAGAACAAAATTAAACAAGGTGAAGTTTGCCAAGCACCTTGTGCTTAGATGGCATCCGGGTTAAACTCTCATATAGGAGGTTGCGAGTTTGAGTCTTAGTTGAGGAATTATTGGCCTTTTGTAAAATTTTTAAAAAAAAAAAAGGTGAAGTTGCTTATTCTACACAACTTTGTGTCCTGCAAGTATCTATGAGGTCCATATACTATAGTGTTTTTTTAATTTAGTCATTCTACCTTAATTTTGTTCAATTTAGTCTATGTACTTTAAAAAGTGCTAATGTGGCGCTGACATTATCTCTGTCACGTCATCATACTTAAATGCCAACTCATATACTATTTTATAAGTATTTAAAATTAATTACTTTTATAACCAATATATTACATTTATATGTCTAAAATAAATAAATAGATATTTACTCACATAAGCTATTGTCCTTAATTATTTCAATTTTTAAAATATAGAGACTATATTAAACAAAATTAAAATAAAAAGACTAAATTGAACAAAATATTATAGACCAGGAATCTCATAGGTACTTTGACCAGATATATGCTGAACGGGTAATAATCAATGAATAGTCGCAGGAGCACTTTATCGGTCTTTTAGGACGTTTAGGTTGGACAGTTTGCTTTTGTTTCGTTGAAATTGGTTTTCCTTGATTTTGAAGACAACAAATGGAGTATGATTTCAAAGCAAAGTTAAACAAAGATAAAAAGGTGGTTGGGGGCAGGAAGGTTCCATCATTTCTAGCATGCTGGAGTCACAAGCATCCTAGGGAGTGACTTTGCATCATATCATCAATTCCATTCTATTTCATGCTTAACACACATGCTTTAACTACACTAATTGCTAGTAAAGATTATTGTTCATTTTATTTTATAAAATTTTAGATTTAATTTTCTTTATCTTATAAAAAGAAAATGTCTTTGTACTTTCATAGGAAAAATGACGGTTTTAGTCCATTAGTTATACTTAAATTGTAAATTCAGTTCATAAATTATTGCTCTACACACCTTTTTACTTTTAATTATGTTGAAAGTGGTTGTTTCAATCCATTACTTATCAATTTTGTTAACATTAAAATTTTATTTTTTGATTTGCCAAATTATTAGAAGACAAATTGGTCATTTTGTAAAAAAATTTCCAAGTATAAAAACGCACAACTTTTCACATTGATGATTTCAAGTGAATGTTGAGTTTATTGTAATGTTGATTACACGAGAATACCTTAGTCTACAATTTAAGCATATTTAATGGACTAAAATCACCATTTTTCTTTTTTTTTTTTAAAAAAAAAAAAAATAGGAAAGCGAATTCCTTAGTCTCTTTATATATATATATATATATTTTATTTTTCACACTTTGAAAAAATATATAATATGAATTTCTATATATTACACTCACATATTTTTATTATGTAAGAGTAACGAAGTCTTTATACTAATTATTTTTAATAATTTATTTTTTATCGATAAATAATATAAGACACAATTACTAATTTGTTTCAGGTGTAAAATTCTTACTCTTATATAGAATTTCATAACACAATATACAAAAACTCACAATATAGACACATACACATGCATCCACTAAAGTCCACAGTGCACTGTGAACCTTATGCATGGTATAAGGATTGCCCTTCAAAGAAAACGCATATGCCAAGGACAACATCAATGCAAGTACATTAAGAATACCTTACCAGAATTTGTTTCTTTTGACATCCTTTTTTTTTTTTTTTTTCTTTTTCTTTTTTCATAAGACATGGAAATAATTGACGTTAAAGAACCTTGAAAATGGGTGTGATGTTTTGTGCACTATAAGCTGGTTCTCTGGTGCTATCACTTATGGTGGAAGCTTCTTTTACCAATTACCACCACCCCTTTCTTTCTTTCTTTTCCTTTTTTTTTTTTCTTTTAATATAAAGATTTTTTAGCTACTTAAGCCATAGTAATCTTAACATCCATTTTCTACTACATACAAAAGTCAGTAGATGATATAAATCTTAGTCACACAAACAACATTTCAATCAGTCATCTGCCTTACTATGCCCACATTGAGCTTAACCCACACTCTACTCCAATTTGAAAAGTCCAACTCTAAATACTAAGAAACTCAATGCCAAGATGTTTAAGTTGTTATACCATGAATTAGGGTTCACCATGATTTTAAAAGATAAATTGTAAACATTTAGTATAAATTGTGTATCTTTGAACTGAGGTCTACCTTGCAAGGTGAACTTATGTCTACAGAATAATTTGCCAATATGTTTAAGGTGGGGTTCGAACCCTACTGATTCTATTACATTGTAGTATCTGTTCAAACATACTTTCTCAATCCAATGAAACACAAAAAGTCAACAACACCTCCACTGAGACTCGATCTCATAACCTCTCACATGAAAAATATCACTATATGTCATTTGAGCGCAATGTGTTTGGCGGGTTCGAACCCTACTTTGTCACCTCCAATCATAATTTGAGAGCATATGATGATGGATCACTATGCTAGTCCTGGAAGTAGCAACACCCCTTTTCTTTCTCTTTCCCTCTTTGTCAAACTACAATAAAGCCATCCTCTTCAGTCTTCACCTAACGACAACAATGAACGTGATGATACATGATTGCTTTACAGTCCGTAGCCCATAATTGTTGGCCCTGCCTTCTCCTTCATCAGTGGCTTTAATCACCACATCAACACTGTCAAACTCACAACTTCTATTTTACTCCTTCACTTTCATCTTCAATTCCAAAAACAAAACAATCCAATATTTTATTATACATTAATTGAATAAAGGAAAAATATTTCCCCTGCCTCAAATCTCTTTTATTGCCTAGCTAGATTCTCACTTCCTCATCAGTCACCCCATACACTTCACTTGGTTCTTATCCTAGACTGCTACTCCTCACATTCCTCTTAGATTTAGCTTTCCTGCTTTAATGGACTTCCATTCGCGTTTATGTAGCTGCCTCCTGTCTTTTGCAGTGTTTATCCGATTTGCATTGGGTGATCAAGAGGGTATGTATGTTTTTAAAGCTTCTGTCTTTATTTGCCATTTGTAGTGGAAGTATTGATCGAATTTTGTTGGGCGGAGGCTCATAAATAGCCAAGTTTATCAATTGGTGATAAGGGAATTGTTGGGTTGGACAGAGGTCGGTGAAGGGCCAAACCAAGGTGATTAGAAGATTGATGGGCGGAGATCAGGTGACTAAGAGATTGATGGGCGAAGGCTTAAAATGCCAAATTTAGGTGACTAGGAGATTGATTGGCGGAGGCTGGTGAAGGGTCAAACAGGTGACTAGGAGATTGATGGGCGGAGGCCTGAAAGGCTAAACTTAGGTGACTAGCAGATTGATGGGTGACAAATTATACCATGGACGAGGGTCTTCCTTGCATTGTTGACTCTGATCCAAAAATAACTTTCTATATCTATAGTTGACATTCTGTACTTGCAAAGTTGTATTTGATAGTTTCTATACCTATAGCTATCATATTATGTGTCAACAATTATAAGTTATTTGATGTATAGAAACTGGTAATTGTTAACGGAATGTACAAAATTTTTGTATCAGGATTCACAATACAATATGAACTCTGATTCATAGTATAACAATTGTTGATGGGTGGAGACCGATGAAGGGTCAAACCTAAGTGACTAGGAGATTGTTGAGTGGAGGTCACTAAGTTCAGTATTTACCTGTTGAAAATGTGATGGTGTTCTATAAAAAAACAAAAAAAAATTGTCAGGATTCACCACTAGCTATAACTTTTGACATAGTGGTAAGACCTTGATTGTAACAAATTTCTTGTAATTGAGACAGGATTCTTGAGCTTGTCATGCGGTGGGAGCATCAGTTACGTAGATTCCTTAAACATTTCATGGATACCAGACGGAGCTTATGTTTCCGGCGGCAACACAACAACCGTTGATTACATCCCAGACGGTTCCTCGTCGCCATCGAGACTCCCTGTCCGGTTCTTTCCCAATTCCGAGGCCAGAAAGTGCTACAGATTGCCAGTGGCTAACAATGTCTCTTCCTTGGTGCTTCTTAGGACTGGGTTTGTGTACAAGAACTACGACGGGCTTAACACGCCCCCTGCATTCTCTGTTTCTCTTGGGAGAGCAATCACTACCACTGTTAATCTTGCAGATTCTGATCCGTGGATTGAAGAATTCTTGTGGCAAGTTGATAAGGACATCCTCCCTATATGCTTTCACTCTTTTCCTCACAGTGGGTTCCCTGTGGTTTCTTCTCTTGAGCTTCGGCCCCTCCCACAAGGAGCTTATGCTGCTGCTCTCGGAGATTCTCCCAACAAGTTGCTCAGAAAAACTTATCGCATCAATTGTGGGTATAATGCAGCACTAAGGTATGTATGAATTGAATTCTCAATTGATCTTGTGTACTGAATGTACATTATTTGATAATATACAAAATCTTTCAAATAATGTAATTTTAATGTATTAAAAATTGTACTTTTTAAGTCTACATATGACCCTTTTGGTAAATGGTTGTTAGAGGTTAGCTTATTGTGTTAATTAGATGGTATAACTAGTTGATAACATTAGCTATTGTAGAAAAGTGTTTGGTAAATTAGTTGTTAGTTGATAGCTGTTTGGTATAATTTCTTTTCTGAAAAAGCTAATTGAAAAAGTTGTTTGGAGTAGCTTTTTGAATTTTAGCATTTTGGAGTTGCAAAAAGCTAATTAACCAAGCACTTATATTGATATTTTAACTAAATTAAACAATTAATAGTGGTCAAATAAGCCAAAATTGACCTATCAAACAAGGCCATAACTATGTGGACCATGAAATAATGATTGCTCGAGGTGAAGACACAACTTTATTTATTTATATACCACTACATTTTCCAGAGGCAAGGTTTACCCTTCACTGGCTTCTCTGCACCTGCCAGCCTTAACTGCACAATTTTTACTCTGGTTGGCACAATTTTGGCGTAGTAGTATACGTTCGATCCTAGTAAGTGATATGTGAGCCGGATCACGAGTTCGAGTCCTAGCAAATGCAGTTAAGACTGATAGGTGCTAGGAGGGAAATTGTTGAGAGGAGGCGGGTGAAGGGCCAAATTCAAAAATTGATGACTAGGGAAATAAAGTTGCGTCTTTGCTAGGAGCTAGGGCTTTTGGCATAGTGTAAGCACTTGATCCTAACATATCTGTTTTGAACTTCTAAATGTATATGTACTAGGTATCCGGTTGATGAGTTTGATAGAATCTGGGATGCTGATGAGGATTTTAGTCCATTTCATGTGTCATCTGGTGTTGATGTTCAAACCAACTTTAACAATATGTCTGTTGTGATTGAGAGGCCTCCTCCAGCTGTTCTCGAGACGGCGAGGGTGTTGGCAAGGTGGAGAGACATGACTTACACCTTCCCACTTGATCACCACCTGGGGGGGCTGCAGGGAGACTACTATGTTGTCCTATACTTTGCAGGCATTCTCCCGGTGCCCCCCACGTTCGATGTGTTGATCAATGGGGACGTTTTCCAGTCAAATTACACGGTGAGCCGATGGGAAGTCGCCAGTCTCGCCTTCACATTGAGAGGAACTAAGAGCCTGAATGTTACCTTGAAGACTATCAGCTACTACCCTTTGCTCAACGCCCTCGAGGTTTATGAGATCCTAGACATTCCCTGGGAAACTTCTTCAACCACTGGTTGGTTTCATACTTTCTTCATTCTCATTCCCTCCGTCTTAACTATATATTATGCTGATTCGGGGTTTTATTGTCTCTTCGATCGTTCTCCAGTTTCAGCCCTTCAGGTTATTCAGCAGTCGACTGGTTTAGATCTTGGGTGGGAAGATGACCCATGCTCCCCAATAACATGGGATCACTTGGAATGTGAAGGAAATCTAGTTACCTCGTTGTTAGTACAGTGAAAAATTAAAGCTTTTTGCAAAATCCCTCCCTTAATTAGCTTGTGTTGAGCATATAACCATTAATGTGTAATCCAACTATCAGCTTAGGCTTTTAGTTGAGATGGAGCACATGCTTCAATTGTTACTTGCTAATTTTCAATCTTGTTTGTGTAGAGAGCTTTCTGATATTGATTTGAGGTCAATAGGTCCAACATTTAGTGATCTGCTGGATCTCAAATCCCTGTAAGCTAGAGATCTATATACATATTTGAATGAATAGAAGAAATTAGAATGACAATATATATAATGATGCCTTATATTTGTGTAGAGATCTGCATAACACTTCACTCACTGGGGAAATACAAAACCTTGGTGGCCTGCAGTATCTTAAGAGGCTGTAAGTTAACTCTGATCTGATGTTTCTGTCGATAAAATAAGAGAGAACATATGGGTTTATAAGGCTATGAGTTAGACTAATTAATTGGTTGGATACTTGGATTCAATCTTTTAGTGTGGTTTGATCCATGTGCATTATAGCTCAATCTTAAATTATAACACCCTTTTTTGCAGGAACCTAAGCTTCAATGAACTAACGGCTTTTGGTTCCGAGTTGGAAGACTTGGTAAACCTTCAAGTTTTGTAAGCCCATCAAGCCACTAGTGTTGTTTCACTGAAAATTGAATATATAATTATTTCGATCTCGAAAATGCTTGGTGATAACATATATAGGTGTTTGTGAATGAAGGGACTTGCAGAACAATAGTTTGCAGGGAATAGTACCTGATAACTTGGGAGAGTTGAAGGACCTTCATTTACTGTATGTAGTGTGAAATCCCATATTTCCCACTCCATAATTTGAAGTTTAATTAGTTAATTTGTTCTGACTTAATTGTGAAACATTATATATATCCAGGAACCTGGAAAACAATAAGCTTCAAGGCCCTCTACCCAGATCTTTGAACAGACACAGTTTGAAAATCCGGTATATATGCATGGAACTATATATATATATATATATATATATATATATATATATATATATATATATATATATATAATCTTAATCAGGTGAGAACCAACCTTAACTTGCGAACTGCGAACTTCTGAAGGATTGCACCGCAACTATTACATGGTTGCACCACAACTACTACATGGTTGCACCACTACGGTTCCAGACATGCCTAGAGAATCTTGCGGTGCAATTGTATCTAGGTGCAGTGCAACTATATAGTAAGTGCGGTCCAATCTTTCAGAAGTTCGCAGATTAAGGTTGGTTCTCACCTGATTATGGACTTATATTCTTCAATTCCTTAAATTAATTTAATTTGTTGGGTTCATGCAGAGCATCTGGAAATCTTTGCCTTTCCTTCTCAACAACTTTCTGCAATGACTTCTCAATCAATCCTTCAATAGAGACACCAGAAGTGACAGTCTTGGCCCCTAAGAAGCACAAAGCTGCTGGCAAAAAAAAGTTACCACTTATAATTGGTGCAGTTGGAGCAAGTGTTCTTTCTCTTTCCCTTGTTTTACTTGCAGTGTTCTTGTACCTCAGACACAAGGAAAGAGCTCGAGATCCCACATATGCATCCAGTACGTATATAGTTAATATCGATCACTCTTAATGATCTGATTGTTGAGCATATAGCCATTAATGTGCAATCCAACTACCAGCTTAGCCTTTTAGTTGAGATGGAGTACATTAATGGCTATATGCTCAACACGCCCCTCACGTGTGCGGTGGGTTCTAAGCAACACGTGGACCGTAGTTGCTTCTTCATATAGTTAGTTAGTTAGAATAGAGTGGAGGTTTTAATTTGAATGAATGATGGAATTTCAGGTGGAATAATGGATATGAAGAAGTGGAATAATGGTGCAAAAGTGTTTTCGCATAAAGAAATCAAGACGGCAACTAACAACTTCAAACAAGTGATAGGGCGGGGTAGCTTTGGATCAGTTTATGTTGGGAAGCTTCCTGATGGTAAACAAGTTGCTGTTAAAGTGCGGTTTGATAAAACTCAGCTTGGGGCTGATTCTTTCATCAATGAGGTAGGCCGCTCTGTTAGCTTAGCTTAGCTTGTTCAGTTGCAGAAACATATTATCCTTATTCGCCCAACGATTCTTCCTCCTAGCACCTGGAGATCGGACTTAGCCCTAATTGAAGTATGTGTTCATCTCAACTAAAAGTCTAAGTTAATGGTTATATGCTCAACACGTCCCCTCACGTGTGAGGGCCGATTGGCTCAAAATAGTTGGATTGCACATTAATAGTTATATGCTCAACAACCCTATTTTTAACTCTAATACCATTTGTTAGAATCAAATGCTTTCCACTGCGTCAAAAGCTATAGCTAGTAGCAAATTGACGCAATTTTATTTCCTTATAGACTGTCATTACATTTTCGAGAGGCAGAGTGCTGGACTTGGCTCCTTCACTAGCATTCGCCCAACAATCTCCTACCTTCCAATTGATAGACTTGGCCTTTTACTGACCTCCCCCAACACATAAATGAATATTTGGTTCAGTTTCAATTTTATGATGTTGGTCGTAATTATTCAATTATATTCCTGGCTTAATTGGCTTGTCTGGTGTGTAGGTGTGTCTTCTGTCACAAATTCGCCACCAAAATCTTGTATCTCTAGAAGGATTCTGCCAGGAGTCGAAGCAGCAAATTCTAGTATATGAGTATTTGCCAGGAGGATCCCTGGCAGATAACCTTTATGGTGGGTTACTTACATTTTTCCACCACACCCCTACTAATGTTACTTCTTCTTTTTTTTTCATCAAACTTCAATTCCTTCATTTCACGTCACTCTTTTTTAACTTCAGGTGCGAATAGTAAAAAACTGACATTGAGCTGGGTGCGCAGACTGAAAATAGCTATAGATGCCGCAAAGGGTACACAACACCTACTCACTTCATTTTCCAACTTTACAAATTAAATTAAATTAGGTGTGTTTGGTAAATAGTTGTTAGCTGATTGGGTTATTGGATTTGACTAATTGATAACATTAATTGATTGTAGAAAAGTGTTTGGTAAATTAGCTGTTAACTGATAGCTTATTACACGCACAATGACTTACTCAAAAAACTTATCAAAAAAACTGGTTTTGAATTTTAACATTTCGATCCTTTATCAGCCTCCCCCACAATCTCCTAGTTACATCGTACTGGACTTGACTTGGTCCTTACTGGCTTCCACCCAACAATGAAGAGGTTTAGTTTCTAGCTTATAGTTACATATATATCCATCAGGTTTGGATTACTTGCATAACGGGAGTGAGCCACGCATCATACACCGTGATGTGAAGTGCAGCAATATACTTCTGGACATGGATATGAACGCTAAGGTGTCGGACTTTGGACTGTGCAAGCAAATCACTCGGGCTGATGCAACTCATGTCACCACCGTTGTCAAAGGCACTGCAGGCTATCTTGATCCCGAGTAAGTCGTTTCGAGCTAGATGTTACTTTATTTTGTTTCCATCTTATTACTCCAAAAGCTATAGCTAGTAGCTAAGACGTAACTTTGTTTCCTTATGCCGCCACACATTTTCAAGATTCAGGGTGGTGAATTTGACTCTTTAACAGCTTCCGCCCAACAATATTTATGTTATATATGCACTCATCAATTTAATTACATATAACAGGTACTACTCTACGCGCCAACTTACTGAGAAAAGTGACGTCTACAGCTTTGGAGTCGTCCTTCTAGAGCTCATATGCGGGCGCGAACCACTGGATCACTCTGGCACTCCTGATTCTTTTAACTTGGTGTTATGGGTACATGCATAAACATAAATTCTAGCTTGTTTGTTTGTTTGTTTAATTAATCTCAATTAGATAGAGTTGTGTTAGGATCAGGCATTTACCACTACATCAAAAGCTATATAGCTAGTAGCGAAGATGTAACTTTATTTCTTTATAGACCGTCATTACATTTTCAAGAGGCAGGGTGTTGGACTTAGCCCTTCACTGACCTCTGCCTAACAATTCCCTAGCTACCAATTGCTGGATTTAACCCTTTACTCACGGTGATTGATTTTAATTTCGGTTTTCAGGCGAAGCCATACTTGCAAGCAGGTGCTTTTGAGATAGTGGATGAGAGCATAAAGGGAAGTTATGACGAAGAGAGCATGAGAAGGGCAGCTTTGATAGCTTCAACATCTGTTGAGAGAGATGCATTGAGAAGGCCAAATATTGCACAGGTCTTAGCTGAGCTCAAAGAAGCCTATAGCATCCAACTCTCTTATCTTGCTTCTGCTGGGCTTGCCAATTGATATATATGTACTCCTCCTATATATATATGCACTGTACTTGTCATATATAATTTACATATCAAATCTACACCCACTATACATATGCTGAGTAAAAAAACTAGCTTTTTGACGAGTAAATAATTTATTCAATTAATATATTAAAAAAAAAAACTTCTTAATTTACTTTTATTGTTGTCTGTTCATAAACCTAATATCTGTCTATCTATCTATTGTCTTATGTGGCAATGTCAAACAAGAGTGCATTTCTATTGATTATTAACTTAATTTATTTGTGTATACATTTTATTGATTTACAAAAAATTAGACGCTATTTCATTTAGTTAGTGAGCAAATATCAATTTTGGTCCCACGAGTATTAGCAAAATGACAGTTTTGATTCACGTGTTTAATTCATACCAATTTTCATCAACGACTATTGTTTTAGTACCAATTTTCGTCTACGACTATTGTTTGTGTCAAAATTATATTCATCACGTTGGTCACTCCTCCTTTTAAGATATGCCAAAATATGAATTATTAAGGGTATTTTCATCCTTTTTAAATTAAGATCCCAATTTGAGCATAAATAAAGGGATTTAAACTTTAAGATCGATCCCGATTTGCAGTTTTCTAAGCACATAAATCTAGGTTAGGGCTTTTGAACGACGGGAGTCCCACATTTGACAAGCACCCTCACACTTTAAAATATTTGAGGTTAGGGGCATGACCTTTAATTTTCACAATGAGTTAATTCCAGCAATGGTCCTCTGACTATTGCAATTTTTCAAAATTAGTCCTCGTCTTTTAATTTGGACAAAATAAACCCTTGACTATCATATTTGTTCCAGCATTAATCCTTCCGTTAAAGATTGGTTTGTTAGGCGTTAGTATAGAGGTTAAAATGGTCTTTTCCTTAGTTATTGCTTTCTTCTTCCTCTCTTGTCTGACCAGTGGTCATCGTCTGCTCTCTGTTTTATCTGAATCACTTTTAAACTCCCAACGAAGAAAAAAAGTTTGCAAAAACGAACACCATAACATGACCATACATTGATCAAAAGCAGACTAAAGGTTTCATTACACAAATTTTCATTTTGAGTTCAAATTCTTCAAAATTTAGAACCAATTATCCGCAGGAGCCAAGATTCGCGACTCGGATCGGAAAAGCGAGAGCCCAGCCGAGCCTTCACTGGTGTTCGACGGGCTACTATGCTGCGGCGCCGGCTCTACTCCGCCGCCGTTAGGCTTTCTCTCGTTGATAAGCTGAAGCGTATGCGAATCAGGGAACAAGGAATTTAAAGAAGGAAGCTCATCGATGAACGGCGACGTCGCCTTCAACAACCACTCCACCGCCTTGCTCGGCTGTTGTACCCGATGCGGTCCTGCAAATCGTTGAACTGCACCGCCGTGTTGACGGAGAGGCACACGTAGCGGTCCCTCAACCCCTTGGAAATCCACACCTTGCTACACTTGTCTTCCCCCCCCCCCCCCCCCCCCCCCGAAGCTCGAGAAACCCGAACAATCCGCGACGACGACCACCGACAGAGCCGCCCAAGGCCGCCGCCGCCGCCATTACTCCTCTTTGATCTCCCCATCTTCTCTCAAACACACCCCTCTTTCTCCCCCACCACCCACTTAGGCCTCTTCACACACACAAAGCTCGCTTAGAAACAATAAAGTTCGCAAATTTCTTTCTTTCTTCCTATGCAAATTCAGAATTGAAATTAAGGCTATGATTGCGAGAAGAAGCAAAAAAAAAAATATATATATATATATATATATAGAGAAGCAGAAGATGGCCGGTGGTCGAACAAGCTAGGAAGAAAGCAATAGCTAAGGAAAAGACCATTTTAGCCTTTCTATTAACGCTTAACAAATTGATCTCTAACGGAAGGACCAATGTTGAAACAAATTTAATAGTCAAGGGTCTATTTTGTCCAAATTAAAATATGAGGACCAATTTTGGAAAATCGCAATAGTCAGAGGACCATTGCTGGAATTAACTCTTTTCACAATTCATATAGAGTTTTTTCAAACCCTTTATGGGGTACTCTGTTCACTTGTTCAGTATGTGATTTGCTGTTAGGACAGCTTCTCCCCACAATGAGCTGGAACACCTGAACTGATCAACATAGCATTAATCATTTCTTTGAGTGTGCAGTTTTTTCTTTCAGGGTCTGTTTGGAAACCCGGAAAATGATTTCTGGAAATCATTTTCCGAGTTTTTGGTGTTTGGGAAGGCTGAAAATGAAATAGTCAAAGAAAAATGTTAGCTAGTCAATGGAAAATGAGGGCTAAAATCCAGAAAATGACTTCCCTTTTTTTTTTGGCGGAAGTCATTTCCATCTTCCAATCAACACGCTCAAGCCTTCTTCTCTCACTTCACCTTTTCCATCTTCCGCTCAAGCCTTCACTGCTTCTTCTCCCACTTCACCTCCTCCTTCAACATTCAACAGATAACTACCAACACTTCTCCTCCAACAATCTGCAACCACAAAAGCTTCACCAACACCAAAAAAGCTACAAGGTATATCATTTTTCCTTTTTGATTTTTTTTCTCCAAAGGTATGACTTCTTCACTGGTTTCCGATGTGGAAAACCAAACTCACTGGTTTCTGCGGAAATCAGATGCAATATTTTGATTTTTTATGTTAAACCAGTGAATTTGTTGCTGCTATTTTTTTTTTTACTGATTATATAATAAAATGCTTTGCTTAATTTGTGGTTATGTGTTAGTTTTAATTGTTGTTATTTGTTGTTATAATATTTTGATTGTATAGATGAATATAAATCATGTGCGTGCAACTGTTATGGGTGCTGCAAGTTGTTTGCGGATGTGATGAGCATAGGTGATGACTTTCATGAGGTTGACCTATGTAAGGTATTTGAATACTTGATGACAAATGAGGTTCAGACGCGAATTTTCAATGCAAAGAATGCAAGTTTGAAGAGGAAATGGATTGAGAAATTTATTTCTTCTACGGATTAAATTATGTATGTCTTTTTTGTTGGTTAACATGCATGTTAAGACTTGGATTGTAATCTTTAAGACTTATATGTTTTGTAGTTGGTTGGTTATGTTGGATCTTAGTACTTGTTATATTGGATCCTAACAGTTTGTGGACTTTAATTTTCAAGACTTGATTATTTATGCATTTATGTTGTTTCTAACATGTAATTGTGATGTCAAATTGTCATATTGTGACAATAGTTTTATTACTAGAAAGATAGACAGCAATGACATTAGAATTAAATACAACCAAAATTTATGTTGCATATAATTTGTAATAAAAATTGTTATATTCTACAAACAAAAATAAAAATATATTATTCGGTATATAATAATTAAAATGTTTAAGTATGCCATTCTGTTCATTTTCTGAAAAATGAACCAAACACCAAAAGACAGTTTTCCATCATTTTCTGGAAAATGAAGCAAACACCAAAAGACAGTTTTCCATTGTACAGCCAAACACAGGAAAGGAAAATGACTCATTTTCCGGGTTTCCAAACAGACCCTCAGTTATGCCATTTTGTTGGGGAGTATAAGGAACACGCAGTCACCTCATGAATAATGCCAGAAGATTCACACAAACTTTTGAGAAAATTTGTTTTATATTCTCCTCCTCTATCAGAACGAAGCCTTTTAATCTTTTTATCTAGTTGATTTTCTACTTCTGATTTAAAAATCAAACAATTTTGTTTGGCTTCGTCTTTTGTTCTCAAAAGATACATTTGTTGAAAACAAGAGAAATCATCAATAAACGAAATATAATAGTGGTTTCCACCTCTACTTTCAGTGCTTTTGAAATCCACTAAATTAGTATGAATAAGCTCTAGCACAGTTGAGGTATGATGATCTAAATAAGAGAATGATTTTCTAGCAAATTTAGCTCCAACATTGTTTCACATTGAGAATATGAGTCACTTGACAGGTTTGGCAACAAATTCATATTTTCAGTATATTTAAACAGTTTAAGCCAACATGTCATAGTCTACCATGTCAAACATTAACTGAGATAGTGATATAAGCAAAAGAAAAGCATTATTATTATTATTATTATTATTGTTGTTGTTGTTGTTGTTGTTGTTGTTGTTGTTGTTGTTTGGACCATGTCAATTTGGGATAAAATCATAAATGGTCAGAGGAGGACCCTTAGTAGCATGGGGATTTCTAATAACAACAACATCTAACACAAAGAGTCCTCCACGCAGATATCCCTTCCCATGATATTCCCCCTCGCGTAATGCCAATTTCATTTAGAATGATAACATAAGTGGGAGTGTTGAACCACGAAAAGTAGAACTTAAAGAAGTTACGGTGCAAGATTCTCTAATATCTTTTTCTCAATTTGTTGTTCCTATGATTCAAATTACTTTATCTAGAGTTACTCGAATTGTTCATCCTACAACGGTTGAACAAATTAATGACTTACTTGAACAACAAATTAATGACCCATGAGATTAATGATCAACCACTCAATGATGAAGTTAACAGTGAACCCACAAATAATATTTCTACAGAAGTAGCATTAAGAAGATCTCAAAGACAAATGAGATATGTTATATCTGATGATTATATGATTTATCTTCAAGAATCAGATTTTGATATTGGAATCAATGAAGATCCATTTTTATTTCCATAGGCTATCAATAATCCTACTTGTTCTAAATGGGTCGAAGCTATGAAAGTTGAGTTAAAATCAATGGAACATAATGAAGTATGAGATCTTGTTGAATTGCCTGAAGGTTGTAAGCGAGTTGGGTGTAAATAGATTTTTAAGACCAAACACGACTCAAATGGCAATATCGAAGGGTACAAGGCCAGACTTGTTGCCAAATATTTTACTCATAAAGATGGTGTTGCCAAAAAAATGTACTTTATGTACAAAATAATGTACTTTTAGTATATTAAAAATATATTTTTTATTTATGGTCCACACAGCTATGCGGCGCAAATTATGTTGTAGAACCGTATCCATCTTGCAAGGTGGATACAGTTCCAAAACTGTTCATAATTATGAATATATAGTTCTGTAATTATGAATATAGAGATTCAATAATTATTGGTAGGAAATATCCCGACCGACATAGCTCCACCACGACCGAGATGCCTTCGTCCTTTTTCTCTTTTATCTTTTGCAGGTAACAGGTCGGGCTCCTCGTGAAAAACCCGGTCGGGAGTTGCCCGAGCGGTAGTCCTTTGGCGAGAGAGCTGATAAAAGACACGTGGCGGCTCTCTACATCGACAGACAGGGCACCCGCGAGGATGACACGTGGAGGCTACGTGGAGAGCATGCCGAACGACCGGATCT